CTAGGTGTTACCTACTCGTAAACTGTGGTTTGTTATTGCTGGTGTTGCCCGGGTGTATGTGCAATTTGCATATCATTTTTTCCATTCACCAAAATCAACACACAATGGGTCACACATTGGGCTGCTAACCACAAAGTCAGCAGTTTGAAACCACCAGCTGCTCTGTAGGAGAAATCTGAATAGAAATGCCCTTGCAAAGACGTACAGTCCCCGAGACCCAGGGACCCTCCCACCCTGTCCTGCAGGGTCCCTGTGAGTCAAAACTGACTGGATGGCAGTGAGCGTGTCTGTTTGGGGACCACCTGGTCAATGATTCCCTTCTCACCCCCCCTTGGGAACCACGAATCGTTCTGTGAGAAACTGTTGGTTTTGGGGTATGTTGTTGTTTACTTTTTCTAATAGTGGTCTCATACAATATTCATCCCTTTGGATTGATTTAGTTTAATCAGCATACTGTCTTCCAGGTTCATCCATGTTCTTTGTTATTCTTTACCATTGCATAAAATTCCATACATTAAATATTATTTATTTATTTACTTTAAAAATAATTGTATTGGGGGCTCATACAGCTCTTATCACAATCCATACATACATTGTGTCAAGCACATTTGTACACTTGTTGCCATCATCATTTTCAAAACATTTTCTTTCTACTTGAGCCCTTGATATCAGCTCCTCATTTTTTCCCTCCCCCCTCCCTCCCTCATGAACCCTTGATAATTAAAAAAAATACTTTTATCGGGGGGCTCTTACATTTCTTATCACAATCCATACATTCATCCAGTGTGTCAAGCACATTTGCACATATGCCGCTATCATTTTCATAGCATTCTTGAACCCTTGATAATTTATAAGTTATTATTATTTTTTAAATTTCTTACACTGACCGATGTCTCCCTTCACCCACTTTTATGTTGTCCATCCCCTTGGGAGGGGATTATATATAGATAATTGTGATGGGTTTCCCCTTTCTCCCCACACCTTTCCCTTCCCCTCCTGGTATGACTACTCCCGTTATTGGTCCTGAGGAGTGTATCTGTTCTGGATTCCCTCCCTGTGCTTCCACTTCCTATCTGTACCTGTGTATATGCTCTGGTCCAGCTGGATTTGTAAGGTAGAATTGGGGTCATGATAGTGGGCGGTGGGGAGAAGCATTAAAGAACTAGAGGAAAGTTGTATGTTTCATCAGTGCTATACTACACCCTGACTGGTTCGTCTCCTCCCCATGACCCTTCTGTGAGGGGATGTTCAGTTGTCTACAGATGGGCTTTGGGTCTCCACTCCTCCCTCCCCTCATTATTCACTCTGGCAAGATTTTTTGTTCTGAGTCTTTGATACCTGATCCAATCAATACCTCATGATCACACAGGCTGGTGTGCTTCTTCCATGTGGGTTTTGTTGCTTCTCAGCTAGCTGGCCACTTATCTATCTTAAAGCCTTTAAGACCCCAGACACTATCTTTGGATCGCCGGACACCATCAGCTTTTCTTCACCACATTTGCTGTGCACCCATTTTGTCTTCAGCGATCATGTCGGGAAGCTAAGCATCATGGAATGCCAGGTTATTAGAACAAAGTGTTTTTGCGTTGAGGGAGTATTTGAGTAGAGGTCCAATGTCCATCTGCTACCTTAATACTTAACATAAATATATGTACATAGATCTGTTTCCCTATTGTTATATATAAAGATATTTACTTATGTACATGCCTGTATTTAGACCTCTATAAATGCTCTTTGCCTCCTAGTTCTTTCCTCTATTTCCATAAGTTAAATTGTTTTTAAAGAAAAAAAATAAGTATCCATTCCTCTATTGATGGGCGTTACAAAACATTTTGAGCAAAGTCCTGATCGAAGAAAGGAAAATGCAGTACAGCGTTACAAATCCTCATGGAATACAAACTTTCTGGAGCCAAAGAGTCTAGATAAACCCCTCAAGCTACTCATAAAGAGTCTATAGAAGAATCCTGATCAAAAGGAGGGAAATAGAGTATAGGATTTTAAATTCTCATGCAATTCAGACTTTCTGGAGCCACGTGGCTCCACCCAGGGCTGAAACCAGTGTGCTAAGGTAATCTTTCTTTAGCACTTAAGCCAAAAGATATCCCTTGAAACCCTAAAAGCAAACAGTAGTGTATGCACGTAACTGGTAAAAATTATCTGCCTTGAGCTCTGTGCCCTCTTAAGAACTACATGGGATCAAGGTGACAATGGAAATTCGCGAGTTTGGATGGGAGCGATGGGGACAGTGAGTTCAAGTGGTTGGAGGAGGAACAGCTCAGCATGGAGGCTCCGCTCGCTCGCTGGAAGGCTCCAGGTCACTGAGTTGTTTGTGAGGCGCGGTGAGCTGGTGCCTCTGTTCTCGTTTGTGTTTGAGAGAGGGGAAAGAACGGACCCGCCTGACGCAGTTTTGCTCTGCTACTGGGCACACCAGGGGTTGACCCCAACTTACTGGCCACTAGCAACAGAACCGAATTCACCACATTAACAAAAGTCAAAAGAAACAAGTGGAATGAATTTTTAAATTTTTTCTATCTGACCTAACATACCCTAAATATCCTGCGGTTACTCATAAAGTCTCCAGTGGCTAATCTCTCAGAAATGGACAGCCTGTTTCTTCTCTGT